CAAGGTTGCTGATATTGCCAAGCACGGAGAAATGCTTCCAGAATTGCTGAATGAGGTTTCTGTGTATGAACAGCTATCGGGGCTACAAGGGAATGGCATACCTAGATTCGTTTGTCATGGGTTTGTGGAGGACGTTCTGTACTGTGTAGGTGTTTCTATCTGTGGTACGGTGGCCAATGGATTCACTGAACAGCAAAAGCAGAAGTTGTTGGAAACACTCGAAAGCATTCACGAGGCCGGTATTCTACATAACGATATCAAAAAGGAGAATATCTTGATTGATGAATCTGGGAATCCATATATCATTGACTTTGGCTTCTCTACACGAAATTGCTCCCCTGTTGCTCGAATGGAAGAAACAAACTTGCTCCTTAGTCTGGTTGAAAGTACTTGAGATAGTACATTTGGGTTGGAATGAATTAGACAATTATTTGTATGAATAAAGCACCGAGTCTTGACCATTATATTTGACATTGATTGTTCATGGCATTTTAGCATAAATCACCTGTCACAGGCGAGATCAACTCCAGACACTTTGAACAACTTTTAGCAGAGAGCATCTACCAAGAAGAGTAGTATCATTCAGTGCCCTATCTATACTACTATTGTTTTTTTACATTTTCCACTGTTCAATACATACTGCGGTACTATTTCAAGTATTCCAAAACCAACTTGTAAATCAGACAATTGAAGATGAGTTTCATTTACGAAATATACATTTTTGAATCAACAAAACGACACATTTACTATTGAATCTGGTTTAAACCGTTCAACAATAATATCGCGAAATGCAGTTTTGTATTGTGCAACAACTCTTGCTGACATTCTAATAAAAATGAGTTTGTAAGCCTGCAATTCCAACAATATCAAGGAAATCGCAACCCAACACAAGTGTTCCATTTTGCATTTGCTGAGATTTGGTTGTTGATAACATGAGCGATTCAACTCATATTCCTGTTATTGAATCGAGGAGACCAAAACCTTCTGTCACTGCAAAGTGTCCAAACTGTTCTGTAGTCATTGAATTCTATCTTCCTGCTACTCCAGCTTATGCCTTTTCTGTTTATAGAGTGGTTTGATTTTCTTGTAGAGACTTGTTCTATTCCAACTTCTGCTGTTCAACAGACTCCATCTGTTTCTGCTAAAAAAACTACAAATGCCTCGGACCAATCTACCAACAATGCTTCCAGTCGCAGACCAAAAACTACTCTTGGAAAAACTGGTTCAGGTAATTGTAAAACCTTTGAAAAAGGATGATTCTTGTCTTCTAATTTCATGATTGATTTAGATGACCATCCAATCGATATGGAATATTATGATTTGTTGGAGATTCCTGCTACGGCGTCTAGTGCTGTCATCAAAAAGGCGTATTATCTCAAGGCTATAAAGTGTCATCCTGATAAAAACTTGGACAATCCATTGGCTGAAGAAATGTTTAAACAAATATCTGAAGCTTATCAAGGTACAGACTTGATGGTTCATGTGTATCCAGAAAAACTATACTAATGTTTAAATTTTAGTCTTGTCGGATCCACAGCGTCGTTCATTTTATAATATTCATGGAAAGGCTGCTGCAGTGGGTTCTGAAGGATCTGTGTTTGTCGATCCAGAACAATTCTTCAGACAACAGTTTGGTGGTGATATGTTTGTTGATATCATTGGTGAAATATCCATTGCTCGGGATTTTAAAGACGTCATGGCTGCAAAAAATCCATCCAAATCTAATGACTTGACCACTGACTCCAACTCTTCTACCATCAACTCGGGAACAGAAGTGCCATCTACAGATGCTACCACTCAAGCCAAACAAGACTCGGCATTGATGTACAAACAACGTCGTTTGATTCGTAAAGAACGTATTCAGAAACTGTCGCATAATCTTGTTGCCAAGCTTTCGCTTTACACTGATGCGTTTCCATTTCCTGATCCTACTTCTTCTCCACCTTTGGGGATCTCTTTGAATAGCTTGGCAAACGAATCACTCGACACGTTTCGTGCTTTGTCTACTATCGAAGCTCAACAACTTGCTTTGGAAAGCTATGGACCCGAATTGTTGAGAGCGATTGGATTCACCTATGTTTTAAAAGCTGATCAGTGGATTGCCAAAATTGCTGCAGAGGATGGGGGTGCTGTGCTATGGCATCGAGTATGGGGACTTGGGTCTCGAGTAAGCGGAGCTATCAAAGAAAAAACTCACATTTTAAACGAGACGGTCGGGACGTTTCGTACGGCTCTAGATCTGCAAAGCAAATTCACCAAACTTCAAGAAATGGATAAAAAAACAAAAAAAACAGGTGAAGGAGGTGAAAAGACTGTTGATGAGGATGTCAAAGTCGAACTGACACCTCAGGAGCAAGAACTCCGCACGCAGTTGGAATATGAAGCGGCAACAAAGGGACTAGAAGCTTTGTGGAGAGGATCCAAATTAGAAGTTGAATCTGTGCTACGCGATGTATGCGACGATGCTCTCGGAGATGCACCTGGTGTGTCGACCGAGTTACGTAAACGACGTGCTGATGCTTTGCGGATCTTGGGTCAGGTTTATGAAACCGTTGGCATTGCTGCTGCTGCCAGTTCCATGCCCAATACTTCCACTGGCACATCTAGCCAACAGCCTCCATTGCCTCCTCGAAAATAGAGTGTTTCCCGTACCTACCATTTTTATATT